GCCTTAGAGAAGGGTATAGTTTCTTAAAGAGAAAAGAAGCTATACTTACCTCTTGGACACCGCATATACCTACGAAAGGATTCCCTGTGCCGTGTCATCATTATAGAGTAAATTAAGAAGGCTACTACTCTGTAACAATAGTTATCCCAAGTATTTTATTAGTTATACCAAAATCTTCACAAATACTAACTAAAATATTTGCTATGTTCTCTCCAGTATGTGATTCTTTGAATGGTACAAGATCAAGTACCTGAGATTTAATCTCTCAATCCAATGTGCCGTAACACCTAAGAAAGCTTTACAGCTCTTGCTAGTTCACATATCAGTAGTAAGAGATATTTTACTTGAATTGTTTGCTAAAATGCTTTTTAACAAATCTTTGAAAACTAAGTATTTATTTAATAAACTACGCTTGACCGTATTGGCGCAAGGGACTATAACATTATCTTCCAATTTCCGGATTATCTCAACTAACTCAAGAAAGCTTTTCGATTCAATAGTGATAAATGGAAGTTTATTGATTGCAATCCATTTGATTAATGCTTCCTTAAGAATATATTCATTCAATTAAGAAGTAAAATTTTCAAAACTAATTATCTCCAAAATATTAATTTTGTAAACTTTAATAATATGATTGCATAGGTTGAATATACTGCTGTTGTTGATGACAAGATACTTGGTGTCTTGGCATAGATGGCATTTCACCTTTCTTTTGTCAAAATCATCGATCGGAGCATCAAAATATAGCCATACTGGGCTTGAAACAGAAGTCGCATTAGAGATAGATACCGCATTAGAGGTAGATGCTGCATTAGAGATAGAGGTTGCATTAGAGATAAATGCCGCATTAGAAACAGAAGTCATATTAGAGGTAGAAACTATATTAGAGATAGAAGCCATTGTTGAAAGATATTGAAGATATAAATAATATTTGGATTTATTTATTTAAATTCACAAGAAGATTAAATTTAAAGAGATAACTTTTATTTGTTAATAGTGAAATTACAATTTTAATACTTTTCTAGCTACTTTTTTGTTCTCTATTTATATTTATTTGCTTTTTAATTTCTACCATTTATTATTCTTATACTGATTAAGAAATTATTTTTGCGATGATGAAAGGTTTCATCATAGTTTCATTTGACAAAACTCCTGGCAAATGCAACCTTTACAATTGATAAACTCTTGATGATCGGTGAAACTTTAAAACTCTTAATGATTAACAAAATTCTTGATAAAAATTGAGGAAACTTGGTGAATTAACTCAGCCAGAAATAATGATATCTGACGAAAGGTTCTATTATAATCATCTGATGAAACTCCTTGATGAAATTAATTTTACCAATTTCAAACATCAATTTTACTAATTGTGATAAAATTATTTCACCACAAACTATCAACGATTATTGATAAAATTCTTGATGAAACTTCTGATGATTTATGAAAACTTGAATCAATTTGACTAAAAATAATAATATCTGATGAAATTATTTTTCCAATGACGAAAAATTTCATCATGGTTATTTGATGAAACTCCTAGCTATTGATGAAACCTGTAAAGCCTTGAAACTCCTGACAATTAACAAAATTCTTGTTGAATTAACTCAGCCAGAAATAATGATATCTGACAAAATTATTTTCGCAATAACAAAAAATTCTTATGGTTATCTGATTGGTGAAAACTTGTCGAAACCCTGATGATTAATAAAACCTCATTGATCGATGTTCTTAACGATTTGATTTAGTCAGAAAAATTGAACACATGGTTCGATCTATTTGTCAATCATTCAAATGGATCATGTATGACCTCAGGCAGTTTGCAATGGAGCCAATAGAGCTCAGTAGTTATGTAAATAGACTGAAAAAACTAGTATCTATTGACTCTATTCAGCTTTATTGGTTCTACTGCTCTACTGAGCTTATTGCCAAGCATTATCAGGGTTAGTTATGTGATCATGGGTCAATTTCCACAAAAAATTGTTTATTCTCTATAATTTTGTCCAATTGAATTTCAGGATTAGGTGTAACAAACACTTTTTACAAAAAAACATTTGTTTTACTTCATGGTAAGATATTTGTCTGATTGACTAATATAAATCAATTGACCAGGTAACTTATTATAGATTTTGAGAATATAACGTTTCACTAATAAAAATCACTGCAAAAGCCATTTTTCTCTTTAAAAGAACGTTTATATTCACTATACAGTAATCCCGAGAACTTTATTTAGAAGACAAAGTATGCCTACCATTTATTGGACCATATTGTAAAGTAAAGGTAACTGGAAATGTTTTTGTCTAAAGCTATTTTATTAGATAAACTTTTACTTTTAACTATTTAATTAGAATAGCTACAATCTCTAGTAGTAGAAGATCCAGGCTTAATATTTAAATTTAGTCAGTTCTTGTAGTGTATTTGGGCTTGTCAACTATATACATAGGTGCCTAAATTATTTTTGAAAAAATCATATTTTCAGCAAACATTTCGGCATTGCTAAATTTTTTATATAAAACCCTTCGAAATAACAATATTACATGAAGTATTTTGATGAAAAGGGTTCAAAAATTTTTGCAATAATTTCAGCAAATATGAAAATTAATTTTGGTACTACATAAGAATAAATTCAGCTGCCTAAATACCATAATTACTTTTTTATTAATATGGGCAATTTAGGCACACATGTACATATATGTCAACTGTATATTAAGTTGTAGTTTATGTATTGTACGTAGATCTTGTACATAGATTTTTTTAATGAGTTTGGGTTTATTAGTAATAAATATCATATTTACCTACTTTATGTATATATATCTATTCTTTAAATATAAGTAATCTATTCTTTTGTGTATTTATTGGTTTGTTAGCTTCTTTATTCGAAGATTTGTTTCGTTTTTCTAGTACTGTCACGAGCAATTACAAGTAGATCTATCAAAATTAACCAATCATATGAATATCTCCCTAATGTTTACTAATAGCTCTATATTGGTTTAACCATACATGGTTTATTAATTGGCTTTAATTTATACAAGTTTTTTTACTTAAATGATAAAACATGTTTGTTTTGTATTAAAATTACAATTTTTGTAAATACGCTATCTAAGATGCCGAGCTGGTCTGGCCCACAAGTTAGAAATATGAATGGCTAATTACTGATTGAAAGTATCTTTAAACTAGTAAATTAATAATAACTTTCACTTAAACATATCTACTATTTTAATGTATTATATATATATATTTATAGTTCTTGATGATTCTATTATTTTTATGCTATATCAATTAATTATTTACTGAGAGCTCTAACCTTAACACCGCATCATGTAATTTACCACTTTAAAAATCCAAAATATGGTATATTCCCGGACTGTCATTAGAAAATTTTTTATATAGATACATATCGATATATAGCAAAAAATCGATATATATCAATAAGATAAAAACGGCATTTATCGATAATTTAGGATATATAACGATATATTACCAAAAATCGATATATACCGGTAAT